CAGGTGTTGAGGCCCGTGTGAACCCTCGTTCCCGTGGAGCGGGTGTTGAGGTTACTATGGTGATCCTAGCCCATAATAGTTCGGCCTTTCCCTTTAAAAGGCCGGTGCTTGCCGGCAATAAACGTCGCCTTGATCAGACTCTTGTCTTGGCGTCCTTCCTTTCTCTCTGCCCCATCTCCACCCCGCTGCTCTTTCAGGTTTGAGGCACTGCGGGACAGTGCTCTGCGTCGCCGGTTCGCGACAGATTTGTCACTGGTTTGTTTGAGAACTATGTCTGCCTGTCCCAGCTGTACACTGGGAGCCCAGTCTGTACGCTGAGCTGGAAGCCTTAGAAGATCCCGCCCGGCCCCAGGGCTTTGCTGACGCTGGACTGTGGGGACCCAGGGCGAGGTGACTGCGAGCAGAGGAGGAGGACAGTGGCCTCCAGGAAATCTCCGAGCCCCAGCGATGGAGAGCGCATCCCTGGCCACCAAGGGCAGGGGCACAGCCCCACCGCTCACCATGAGCGAGCCGGGTCCTCAACGAGGCACAAGAGGGCTGTCAGAGGAGGTCCGCAAGCCATCGGAAGAGGACCAAGGGACCAGTGTCCATCACTGGAGAGATACAGGTCCCGATGCATAATAAGAGAGAGTGGCAATAAGAAGGAGTGGCATCAAAGTTGTCCATGGCCCTGGGAAAGTGGCCCCAGGGGGAAGGAAAATACAGCACTCATCCTTCCTGTGCGCCACACGTAGCACAGACAGTGCCCGAGCAGGAGGCCACAGCGATCGCCCAAGTGCAGCCTCCCGATCCCCAGACCGGAAACCTGAATCCTCCGTCTGCTCCTCCCTCACCAGAACTTTCACACTGGCATCTTCCAGGAGCACAGTGCCTTCTTTTAAACTGGTCATTTCCAGTGAGCTAAATACCTGATGCCCTAGTCTGCAGCGATCAAAGATCTGGCTTCAGCTGTCCAAACACAGGTAGCAGGGCCTGCAGGTGGGCCTAGAACCCCAGGTTTCCTTGAGAGTTTAGGGTCCCACATAGGTAGATAAACAGCCTCGGTGCACTGATGTCACTTAGGTTCAAATTTCCTAGAGTGACCCTTCAATCAAAACAATTTGAGTTCAACCCTTCCCTGCTGTGCCATATGTTAATTTTCCCTAAGTCCCACTGAAAAACGAAAGGCAGTTCCCAAATAGACAGTTTCTGGGTGGTTGTGGGGGGTCTGTCCCAGTTGAGTGGAGGAGGTCAAAGGTGAGGAGACTTCACCTGGGCTAGTCTTCACTTCACACAACTAGTCCACTCCCTGAACTCAGGAAAGGGGTGCTACCAAAGGAAATTCGAAGGGAGGCTTGCCGAAGGAGGAGGAGACAATGAATTAATGAGGGAAAGAAATGTGTCTCTGATAGACTCCCTGTCCCTAGGGGCAGACATTCCGTGGAAATCAATAGCTGTGCATTCTTTATCCTTCTCCTGATAAAATGCAAAGCTATGAGATGGTGTGTAGGGGGGTGGGAGTGCTGGTCATTAAACGAGGAAAAGGTGGGGACAAATGCCCAGGAATCTAGGCCAAGACTCAGACCCCATGTGGGCATCATTAGCACAGGCAGGAACCAACTAATTACAACAGTTGCCAACCCAGGAAAACAAAGCAGTGACATATGGGTGAGCTGAGTCCAGGCCCTATCACCCTTGCCTTTTTACCCCTCATGGGCTTGATGTGGTCCAAGGAATTTCCTGTCTCACATTTTATCCTGGAGTTGAGGTCCAGTGGGAATGTACAGACTAAAACTCCGACCAGAGAAGCTCCCTCTCCTCACACCTGTTAAATCTGTACCATAAACACTTTTCTCCTGCAGCTTCCAGGGCTCACAGGCTGTCATCTCTTGGAGGGCAGGTTTTCCTGCTCTACATCTCATTTCATCTCCATGCCTTGCCAGACTAGGTAGGGCTTAGTTAGCCTTCGGGGAAGGGAGACTAGGTAGCAAGTAAATGAAGGAGGGGTGAAATAATTGGTTTCAGAAAAAGAACGGGCTGGAATGAAGATTAACAGCTTTGCCTGGGGCAAGCACACACCTCCTGCCCAGTCTCCACCCCCCTTTAAGGAGACCCTGCCAAGGATCTTCTAGCAACCTCTAATCAACCCTGGCCTGCGAAAGCACCCTTGACTTTTTCTTCTGACTCTCCCCAACTAACCTCTCTCCTTTCCTAAATGCTCTACAGTTTGATGAAACTCTGTTACACATGCCATAGTGGAAAACAGAAGTGGCTTACATGGGCAGGAACCCAGTCCACCTTTCACATTTCTAGTCCCAGGGCTTGTGTGCGTGTGGGGGGGCGGGGGTGGTGTGGGTGGTGATATTCTAGACAGAGGTCTAGCCTCAGCTGAGCTCAAAAAGTATTCTTCAGTCCCAAGAGAGGTGAGCTAAGCTAAGGAGGGAGTTTGGCAGGGTGGTAAGCTCCTGACTTCAGGTTTCTGTGTTTCTCTTGGGGTGAAGGACTCCTAGTGTCTAAGAGGTAAACCAAGGTTGACTTGGGGTACTTAGGAACTCTCTCATTCCTTGCCCCATGTGGATCCACCTGGTCCTAAACCTGGACTGTTTGCCTTTCTATGGGCCCAGTACTTGTCCCTCAGGTCCAGCGTTTCCTGAGAGGCCGGGTGCTGGCTGCAGGCACTAGACCTTGTGAGGGTGGGTTGCCATGGGGGAGCTTTCTTACCCCCCAGCGGGCCACGTACCCCCCTCCCTGGGCCACGACGGGTGTCAGGAAGGATTAGGTTAAACCCGGATACCCATTGCGACAACGACCGAAGGACTCGCTCTTCCCCTCCAGCGATGCCTGCTCTTCGTCCATTCCCTATTGAGATAAAGTTGCATTTAGCGCTCCCAGGGGAACCCATAATGGATGGAGCTCGGCTCCTTCACACACCAGCAAGTGAACATCCTTCACTTCCCTCTCGGGCTAGAAGGAAGGGCGGGGGGATGAGAACAGAAAAGAAAAGAAAGAAAAAAGAAAGGAAAAGCCTGGATGATGCCCGTGGGCACTTCTTGGATCTGAATAGATGAGTGGGAATGCTAAATATGCAAGCTTTTGTTCAAAAGAAAGATAAAATCCACAGATTCCTTAAGTCATGGGTTTATAGAAATGAGCTCTGCTCTTTGGTGGAAATACAGACCTGTGTGGTGTGGGAGAGACCTGAAATGTTAGTTATCTGATTTCTATTCCCCATAAGCAGCCCTTTGCTGCTCTCCAGCTCTCTTGTGGCAGATGTGATAACATCTGGGCCATTATTATCACTCAGGGCAAGCACTGGGTCCCTAGAGACTCTGGCACCTCAACAGCAGCTCCCTAAGGACTGCCTTGATCTGTCTGCCACATGAGGGCCATGTAACAGGTTGGCTAATTGATTTATTCTTCTTTGGTCTTGATTTCACAGTAATTAGAAATAAATTGTTAAAAGTGGAAAGAGCGTGTGCTTGCTTTCAAATTCATTTGAATCAATATTTTGAATCATACTTTCCTATAAATTAACTTCCTCTTGTTTTCTATTAAAGGAGAAGTATACAAAGAATTAAGAGTCAAAGGACAAAAATGATGGAAGAGAAAAGAAAGTTCTTTTCACATCTTACTCTTTTTTTTTTTTTCTCCTGAAGAGGTTTTTTCTGGAGTTTCCAGAATAAAGTGTGTGTGTGTGTGTGCTCGCGTGCTGAGGAGACAGAAAGGGATCCTAGCTATACCCTGTTAACTATTCTTTCCGTTTGATTACTAGAACCCTCAGATCACGCGGAGCTCGTTTGAAACGTGGGTTTGTACCGGGTTAGAGATAAACAATAAGAGAAACGCACAATTTAATTTCAGCAGCTTTTTCGGAATAAAAAGGATATGCTCCTTGTGGCTTCTAAGTGGCTGTCACTAGTGGTGCCTGACACAGTTATATTAACAACAACAACAACAACAAAGTATGCGGAGGAAATTAAATTATGGGGAAATCAATAAAGTCTGACTGCTTCAAACAAATGTCTGTCACCGCGATTATTCTCCAGGAACCTATTTATAAACCTTGAAAGAAACAGGTTCTTGGAGCAAAAGACAGCACCGTCCGCATTTCTGTGTTATTTTTCTCTGCATAGAGAGGAATTCGCAGTCATAATTTAACATACAAACGGCCAGCTGTATACATTATATAACTGCTTGTTAGGCATCACAGAAAGGAGTTCTAAGTGATGCGCGTATATTCAGAGCTTGCGAGGGAGAGGAGTGCAAGTGCCTCCAAAAGGTGCCTACCCTTAGACAATAGCTGACCCATCTGATCTTTCCAGACCCTCGGTGGAAAGGTGACGCGTGCAGTGCGCATGCCCGGGCAGCTACAGGTGCATCACCTGCGCTGTCCTCGATGGTGGTCACTATAAGAGCTGCTCCCCTGCGCTGGTCACTGCCCAACGAGTGCGCGCGCGCGCAGACGCACGGCGCCACCGAAAGGAAGAGCGCGCGCCAGACAGACGGAGACAGCTGATGCCTGTCAACGCGGCGGGGCTGCGAGCTCTCGCGAGAGCTCCCGGGCCGGCCGCGAGAAGTGGGGCTCAGGTGTAAGAGGAGTGCATCCCGTCTGCGCGCGGGGCTAGAGCTCTCGGAGAAGCG